CCCCCCTCACCCCTCCCTGCGGCTTCTTGCCAAGGCTGCTTTTCTGGGCTCATTAGCACCCTCCACCCCCACCCATCCTCTGCTCTGGTGCCCACTCAGGCAGGCTGGAATTGAGGGAGCTCTCAAGAGCTGTGAGAACTGAGCAAGGCTTGGAAATCAGGCGACACTGCAAACTGGGAGGCCTCCGCCCCCATTTTAGGGCAGCCCCTGTTATGAGAGCAATAAAGAAAGAGCAATTTATGCCGTTTAGAAGCAAATGGCCCTTTCATCTGGAGTGGCTGCTGCTGCAAGCCCACGCCGCCAGGGAGGAGGAGGGGCCCAGCTGCAGAGCCCGCCTCCAGGCCCCTGAGAGGGCTGCCTTGCCCAGCGCTGCTGCTAACGCAGCGGGAGCTGCAATCACGGGCGAGGGGAGAAGCCTGTTTACACTTCTGTGTCCCCTGGATGCTCTTGGGGTGGGGGATGGGGGGCTGCTCCCGGTCCAGGCACAGGAGGCAGGAAGAACGGGGGCCAGAGCGTGAGCGCTTGCCTGACTGTGATGGATAGAGAGGACATCAGTGGCATTGACAGCAGCACCCAACCACTGGGCTCACTTCCAGGAAAGAGACTGGAGATTTGCTGTCACCAGAGGAAGACAGACAGCACCCTTCTCACCCTTCACGAGGCCACTTTCCGCCCCTCGGTGTGGCCTGGGTCTGAACCGGCGAGGTCACTGCTATCTGCGTGGGGTTCAGCTCTGGGCCGGGCTACTGGGTCAGTGTCTGACTTTAACACGATCCCCTGGTGCTTCTCCTGCGCACACAGGTTGAGCAACACGCTAGACCCCTCAGTGTGGTGAGGCGAGAGAGGGGGAGGAGGCGAGAGAATGAGCTAGGAGGGCTCAGGCACTTCCTTTGTGGGCCTGCGAGTAGCCCAGCAGCCACAGGAGAAAGTGGCCCGTGAGTAACACAGCAGCTCTTCCCGCCTGCAGGAAACTCCTCAAATCAAGACGCTTGGGTGGTGAGTCACCATCTCTCCTCCTGCTCTTCCAAGTCCTACCAGTTCCTCCTCTACCCAGCCAGGTACCCCATCAGAGTGCATGGCCTGAGCCCTCAGCGAGGCAGTTTGCTTTCTTCCTGCCTGTTGGACACCACGCTCATCAAGCACTTGTGGAGCCAGGGGCTCAGGCCTCCCTCCAAGGCGCCCACCGTCACCCTCCTGTGGGCACAGCCGGGTCCCAGCCATCGGAGACGGGCAGGCAGGTGACCTTCATCAAGGAGGCCCCTGGCAAGCTTCCATGGACGGCCCCTTTAATTTTTCTCATGTTGCCTCACCATCACCACCACCACCGCCACCACCGCCGCCAGGAGCAAAGAAAAGTTACATTACAAAATTTATTTGAAAGAAAACCCTCAAAGCACTTTTTACTCTTGCAGCTATTTGAAGAATGCCGTGCTGTCAGACGGTGGAGAATGTCTGCTTCAGCATCCATCAGCATCATTAAAACGCCACCTCTGATGTGGCGAGCGCGAAAAGGGGAGTCTGTTACGCAGAAGTGGGCCTCTTCTCTCTGTAACAGAAACCACCGGCCGCACATGTGTGTATCGCCTTACCCTGGAACATGCTTCTGGCACCGTCCCCGCGGCCCCCGCCCGCCCGTCTCTGCTTCAAAGAGGCAGTTGCATGGGAAGGTTCATTTATTTGAGCAGAAATAGGTCAACGTCAGATGTTTCAAAAATGCATTACTGATGTGCAAGTCATGTGAGCTTTATTTTCAAGTCAGCTGCTTGTACACAAAGTGTGGCTTTTTTCAAGTAGTAGGTATTTGACAGAAAACGGAGTGGGTCTGAGCGTGTGATGTCAAGGGCCGTGTGCTGTGCCGTGTCCCTGAGCCCACCACGGTCGCTCCACGCTGTGACCGTGGCAGGAAAAGCCTGTGGCCGCAGGAGTCAAGGGATGAGAGACAGCAGACATCAGGGATGCATCTCTGAGTGCCTCGCCTGCTTCTCTCCACAGGGCAATGCCAGGCCTCCAGAAGGCTCGGAATAGGAAATAGAAAGTGAGGGTGAAGATTTGGGGGAAGTGAGCCATAACAACCCTCAGTCCTTGTGGTCTGTCGAACCCCACGGAGGTGAGTATCCTATCCTATGTGGGGGGACTCGGCTGTGTTAGGCCAAGAATAGCAGAACCTGAGGCAGGGACTCTTGTGCAAGTGATTCACAGAGAATGCTACCAGGACAAGGGGCGGCAGAAAAATTAGCAAGGATGTGGTGACCCCGAGGGAGCTCAGGGAGCAAAAATCACACCATCAAGCTGACCCCTCCTTAAGGCAAAGTGCCATCCATAATCAGAGACTGAGGCGCAGACAGGGTAAAAGAGTGTGAGCAGGGGAGTGAGGAGTAGGAGAGTTTGAAGGAGTTCAGGGAGGTATACCAGCCCTAAAGGGGATCTGGGAGGGGCACCAATAGGCTCTACTACATTTCCCAGGTCCACCTCAGGGTGCATTTGGGCCCACCTGTCAGGCCTTTGTAATAAATCTATCAGTTGGTTTTGTGGGTGCATGTGATTTAGGAGAAATTTTAACACTCTTCCATCCTGACCCTTTAGCCTTGCTCTATTTTCCCCCAGCACACTTATCACCACCTGACATGCTATGTCACTCACCTATGTTTATATTTACGAATAGCTGATCTGTTACCTCTGCTCCCACACACTAGAAAGCAGGCTCCGTGCGGACAGGTCTCTTTATTTCTTGAGTGTCTGACACGTAGAAATTGCTTGGTAAGTATGTGTTCCTGAAAAGTATTATGACGAGCGTATTCCTCCTGGTGCTGCTCAGTGATTTTTGCGATGCTTCTTTGGGTCCAAAGAAATCAAATTTTGACCTGAGCAGGAACTATACCATGTCGGAGGGGATCGTACAGCCCAATTTTCTCAGATTTCAGTGTGTTTCAGAACCACCTGGGGATCTCGTTAACATCATACCTTCTTGGTTTCCATACCCAGAGAGTCTGATTAAGTGATTCTGGAAGGGGCCCAAAATATGCACTTAAAAAATTTTAAAAAGTATAACCATTGATTTGGATATAGGTGACCTGCGGAACATACTTTGAGAAACACTGACGGAATCTGCAACACTGGCTCAGGCAGGTATAAATAGCTTCCCAGACCACGCTGCTGCTCAGCCGCAGCATTGGGGTTAGACCTGGCTCCCCTCACTCTCAGGGCAGCCTGTTTTCCACTCATGGTCTCCCTTAATAAATGTTTACAAGCTTGTACATACATCGGTTTCCATGGGAGCATAAAAGCTTGATGAATACTACCACTGCAGCTGGGCTGTGAGGCATAACTGGATAGTTATCTTTAGAAAAATTTGACTTCACAACTTTTTGTGACTTGTATTGCCCCATGTTCTTGTGGATTCTTTTAAAATTGTAAATGTGTTGAGATATGCTGATGCCATAATCATTCAAGGAAATGGAACACAGGGAGAGCCAGGAACCAGGGCCCTTACTGGGAATGATTTGGGGAAGTGGGGGGAGGTGCGGTGTGTGTACTGAAAAGACATGGGGAAGCTGCATGGAAAAATGGAATGATGCCACATGATTTAATGCATGGTGAAGGGCTCCGGGGAAGCCCAAAAGGAGACAGTAAGCGAAAAACAAGTTGCAAGGAAGAATTTCTCTGGCTGGAAGGAAAGAAGGTAAGTTGGTTGACTTACGCTATTTTAATAAAGGACATTTCATTCACCATGAATCCTCTGGTTGAGACCATTGCCCATCCATGGAAGGAGTGTGCCTGGCCTGGAGGTTTGATCCAAGGGGGACAACAGTGGTTGCTAAGCGATAAGCCATCTCCCAAGAGTAGACCCTTAAAGTAAGAACTACTAGTGTGTCACCATGTATGGCGTTGGCAGTGGGCCCGGTTCTGTTTCCAGTTTTCTATATTAACTCATTTGGTTCTCCTAACAATGCTCTGTGGTCGATACTGTCACCAGGCTGTCACCCCAAGGCCCTCCACATTTCTCAACACCTAGACTATGTCACGAGCTGTGCCTGCTAACAGGAACTGAAAAGTATTCCCAACCGCAAAGACCAAGGTGCTGGGCACAAAAACCAAGATGGCAATGGGGCACCATGTGCAAAAGGACTGAGTGTGACAGGGGAGTATAAGTGCGCGTGCCTGAAGGAATGTACTCGCTCCGCGCCACAGCCTAGAACAGCAATGGTGAACCTATGACACTCACACTCGAACTCACTTTTTTGGTTGATTTTTCTTTGTTAAATGGCATTTAAATATATAAAATAAATATCAAAAATATAAATCTTTGTTTTACTATGGTTGCAAATATCAAAAAATTTCTATATGTAACAGGGCACCAGAGTTAAGTTAGGGTTTTTCAAAATGCTGACATGCCGAGCTCAAAAGGTTCACCATCACTGGCCTAGAAACACAGGGGGCTCCTTTGCGTCGGGGAGAAGGGGCCGTGAAAGCGTGAGCTCACCCCTCTCCACTCCCTGGTCAAAGAATAAGGCTTCCGCTCCTCTTTACCGAACTCGGTTCTATTGGCGCAAACAGCGCTGGGCAGAAGGACCTTGGTGTGGGTTCCTGACCCTGAAGGGTCAGCAGCAACACTCTTACCCCCCGCCATTGAATAGATGAGGACAGAGAGAAGTTCGGTTGGTTGCCTAAATCCACACATTTACAAAGTATCGGAGCTAGGACTTGACCCAGGCAGCCTGTATTCAAATCCATGCTTTTCACCAGCCACTTCTCTCCTGAAATACAACAGGCAGGACTTCTTTCTCTCTGGACATAGCCCTGAGGTCTGGGGCATGTTTGTGAGGCGGTGGAGGACGCACTGAAACGGGACTTGGGAGAACAGTAACATCCAGGGTGGACCACCAGGGTTTTGTCTGCAGTGGTAGGATGTAAGTTCTCTCCTCTCCCCTTTGGTACAAACAGGTTTGCCATGCTCATGACTGCGTTTGTGACAGAGTTTCTTCTGGGGAAGGAGCTCGAGGAGGACAGAGAGGAGCCCACTGACATCTGGCTTCTCAGGGGAGAGAGGCACTGGGTTCAAGGGCGCGGAGTCTCCGTGGACAGTACCTGGTGCTCTGCACCCTGGCCGGGATTCACCGAGCAAGGACCCGCAGAGGAGAGGCGGATCCTAAACCTCGGTGGGCTGAGGCTGGAAGGCTTCAGAAAGAATCATGCCGCCTGGGCCACCGAAGCTGTGACAAGAGAGTGAGAGACTGGCCTGGGGAGGCAAGTGACTAAAGTGCGGACTGGACCTCAGACCAGAGCACAAAGAACATTATTTTCATATATTTGCCACTAAGTAAGGGCTCTGCGGTAGGGGTTTTCCCGGAATTCATCCTAAATGGGGAGAGGCTAGAGGTGGAAGGG